ATATAGTTGAATTGAACTTGTGTGCAAAGTTTGGAAGTAATCTAAAGTGTTTAAGTGTGATTCGAACACCCTTTTGAAAGAATGAAGATTTAACAATTTAAGAGAAATTCTATTCGGGTTGAGCCTCGATTCTTTGTTGTGATATTCCCGTGGATGTTTTGAGGCTTTGGGTAAATTTGGATGATATATTTGTACTAGTTGGTATGATTGGACGGGGGTCCCGAGGGGCTCGGGTGTGTTATGGATCATTAGTTAAGAAACTAGTTATGTTAAGGATTTGAAGTATGACCATGGTCAATATCAGATCAAGATGACCTCTTTTCGGTGTTTCTAGTGCGCTATCAGGTTTATAGCATGTTTTATGATTGAAATGCAATATTTGGTTTGCGTCTGAGAGGTTGCGAATGAGTTTTGGGTGCTAAAACGAAAATTTTCTTATTGCTGTTTTTTTTCCTGTGTAAGTAATTACGAAAATGCCATTTATATCCCTCAAATTTTCAGATTTCTTTTAAAACTTCAAAATATTACATCTCCTTCATTTTAAGGCCAAATTGAGTGATTCAAGAGGCTATCTTGGATGTAATATCGCAAGGATCATGTTGGACTTATCAAACGTGTTTCGAGATAATCTAGGACCTGATTCGAGCTGGGATAGCTGGTGTATTTTTTTGTTCTTCATTCGAAATTTAGTTAGTTTTCTTACAAGGTTTTGGAGCTGATTTTGGGCGATTTTGGAGGAAATTTTTACTACTTGGATTGGGGTAAGTATTCTTGACCCAGATTTAATTATATTTCATGATTCCATCTTTGTTTTTATCATTTGATTAATAATTTGAATTGGAGAAATTGGGAATTTTCGTAAAAACTTTCTAACATATAAAGTGATGATTTAAAGGCCGATTTAGGGTCGGAATTGGATGATTTTGGTATGATTGGACTCGTATCAAAATGGATGTTTGGATTTTGTTGGTTTTGTCGGGTTTCGAGGTGCGGGCCTGGAGTTGACTGTTTGTGTTGACTTAAAGATCGAATCTTTATTATCCGAAATTGTTTTTTATGACTTTTATTTATGATATTTAAGTTATTTTAGCTAGATTTGAGCCGTCTAGAGGTTTTTTCACAGAGAAGGTCATTTTAGAGTACTGGTTTAGCTTCTTTGAGGTAAGTATCTTGCCTAACATTGTGTGGGGGAACTACCCCCTTAGGATTTGAGTTGATTGTATTATTTGAATTATGTGAAAGACGTATACGCGAGGTGACGAGTGCGCACTCCGACTTATATGTGGAAATTGACCGGTTTAGACTCTTAGGCTTCTTTCATGTATTTATTTTAAGTTGTTCGCACGTGTTATATCTTTTATTTGTTAAGTTTACTCTCACATGCTTTATTAGAAGTTGTTAGTACATGTTATATCTTTTATTTGTCAAATTTCCTTTCACATGCTTTATTAGAAGTTGTTAGCGCATGTTATATCTTTTATTTGTCAAGTTTACTCTCACATGATTTATTTGAAGTTGTTAGCACATGTCATATATTTTATTTGTCAAGTTTATTCTTATATGCCTTATTTGAAGTTGTTACCTCATTTATTATAATGTGACCTCCTTTATTCTTGAGTTATTCTTAATTGAAATTGTTATTACATGATATCCTTTCGTTGCGCAGTTATTCTCATGCATTTAGACGTAGTTGCTAATTTATTCTATCTCTTTCATTGTTAGCTTATGCCATACACTAGAATTCGAAGTTTGCCATTTCATGAAAATATCTTCATTATTGAGTTTATTCTTAAGCAATTAATGAAAGTTGAAGTTATTGAAAGCCATTAAGCTATTTTAGTTGAAGTTGTTGTTTAATGGGGTATTGTTCATTGTTGAGTTACTTTCCCCGTTTATTTTGTTGCTATTGAGATTTTGTACACATCGTGTTTGAGCCGTGGGCTATGTGTTGTGGTGATATTTGTATTATTATTTGGAATGGTTATGGCCTATGATTACTTGTGGTATGAGTTGATATGTCGTGCTGTATTTATGTTAGCACATGTGAATTTGTTGTATTGATTATTGTTGTTATGCGGATCATAAGAGTAGCATCTCACTATTATTGTTATGCGGAGCATAAGAGTGACATCTCACTGTTGTTGATTGTGCGGAATGATACGGGTGGCTATTGTGTTATTGTCTAGGCAGAGCGACAAGGGTGGCTAGTATGCGGAGTGATACGGGTGGCTATCGGAATGATACATGTGGCTAATTATATTGTAAGGGCGGAGTGATACGCATGGCTATCGGAGTGATACGGGTGACTATTATGTTAAATGTTTGGGCAGAGAGATAAGGGTGGCCATTATGATGCTATCAATATAGAGAGATAAGGGTGGCCATCTCAGGGATGATATGTTATGGCTGGGGGCATTATGTTGATATTCGTGTGATGGTGTGATTTTCCTTGTGTATGTCATGCACCTTACGTGACTTGTTGTGTTACTTTTATTGAGCTACTCGATGTCGTTGATATTACTTGTTGACTTGGACTATATTAGTATACTCGCACAAGCATATACCGTAGCACGCCGTTTACACCGATTCAGGAGTATGAAACTTGACATTCATTGATCATGTCCATATATTCTTGTATTATCCGCTTCCATTATGATAGTAAGCCTGTGACCATACTGGGCGGATTGAGATATTGGCACGTGAGTTGTCCGTGCGGTCGTGATTGATAATATGGGCATGAGATGCCGTGAGCACATGATTTGTGATTTGGGATTCGTGACTCTTGATTTTGAAATGAGGTATCTCGGAGTAATATTGTTGTGAGACTTATGTTAGAACGACTTGATTAGTTGGTTGTCATTGTTTTGCTTGTTCGGCTTCACTAGTGCTTTAACAGTGTTCTGATTACTTCACTGTTTATATCACATGTTTATTCCTCGTTGTCATTTACTAATTCTTGCTTTCATTATTAGCTTTATACTTATATACTGCACAGGTTATTATGACTAATAGGTGTCTTGACTTGTACCTCATTACTACTCCATCGAGACTAGTCTTGGTACTTACTGGGTACCGACCGTGGTGTACTCATACTACACTTCTGTACATTTTTGTGCAGATCCAGGCATTAGAGATATCAGACTCAGGCAGAGTTAGCTTCTTGATCGCAAGGATTCAAAGTAGAGCTACTTGGTCATCGCAGTCCCTTGGAGTCCTTTTCCTTTGAATGTACTGTGAAGTCTCTATCCGAACAGTATTGTACTTGAGCTATGTTATGTATTCAGTAGAGTTCATGACTCTGTATTAGCTAGTCTTTGGAGGTTATTGTGATTATTGCTGCATAGGCTTGTTTTACCTTTATTTCGGTATTTCATATTAAATATTGCTTTAAAATATCATGTTTAACTGGTTTAATTATTGTAAGTAAGCGGCTTATCTAGTCTTAGAGACTAGGTGCCATCACGACGCCTAATGCGGGATTTTGGGTCGTGATAGCTAGGCAAGACACTTACCTCTCCAGAGCAATTTCCACAATCTAATACCGTCTCCCTAGAAATACTCCTCAAAACAAACAAAACCTAGTCAAATATCATCTAAGAAAGTCAAACAATGCTAAAGAAAATATCCCAATCAATAAAGGCTCAATCTTAGCCAAAATCTCAAAAGTCAACAAAAAGTTAACTCGCGCCCACATGGTCGATTTGGAATTAGGACCAATCCCAGTTACCCATTTATCACCAATTCCGTATATGTGATTTGTTTCGAAATCTGACCTCAATTTGAGGTTTAAATCTTAATTTTATAAAAAAAAATTAAATTCGACCAAAACCCCTAATTTCTACCTTGAAATTCATGAAAAAGTAATTGAAATAGAATGAAATAAGTTGAAGTTACTAATCAATGAATTTAGGAAGAAATTATTCTTCAAAAATCGCCTCTAAAAAGTCTAAGGTTGAAAAATGGTGTAAAATGAGTTAAGTCCCGAAATTTTAATATTTTACCCAGCTGCAGATGTTGCAATTACGAACACTTGTTCGAATTGCGACGTTCGCAAATGCGAACCAGTGTCTCAGCTCCATAGTTATCACAAATGTGCCATCATCATCGCAATTGCGAAGTCAGGGCCTCCGCAAATGCAGGAGAAACATAGCAATTGCGAAGAAGTCGTTCTCCCAGGTCGCAAATGCGAAGCTCCCCCATATCACAAATGCGACTATTTCTTTGTAAAAGTGAAGTACCAGTCCCCCAGTCCCATATTGCAAATGTGATCATGACATCACAAATGCGGGATCGCATTTGCGAGTATGTCTTCGCAAATGCAAGGATCACATTTGCGAACTTGTCTTCGCAAATGTGAGAGTTGCAGGTTCAAAATACCAGATTTTCCTCAATAGTTCAAAAATACTCGCAACACATCCGAAACTCACCTGAACTCCTCGGGCTCCAATCCGAACATTCACACAAGTGTAATAACAACACACAAACTTGTTCGCAAGTTCAAATCATCAAAGTAACATCAAATATCAAGAAACAATCATTAAAACTCAAGATTTTCAAGTTTAGAACTCATTTGTCCAACTTTTCACGTAATGCGCCGAAACGGCCCCGGGTCACCCGGAACCCCAACCAAACATATGTATAAGTCCAAAATATCATACAAACCTACCAGAATTGTCAAAACACCGATCCGAGGCCGTTTACCAAAAACGTCGACTATGGTCAACTCTAGTCATTTTAAAGTCGAAAATTATATTTTTTTTAAAGAAAAAACCAGATTTAAATTTGTTGGAAATCGACGCGGACCGCGCACGCAAGTTATAAATTATTAAATAAAGCAGAAAGGAAAGCTAGTACTCAAAATGACCCGACACCAAATAATAGGAAGCAACCCAGGAAAATAAAATGAAAAAGGTGTTTTGGGCAAAGAGGGACTAGAGAACCATTTGTTGCATTATAAGGGAGGGAAACAAAAATACCAGAAAGTGAAAGGGTCAGCAGACAGAAATAACTACCAAAGCAAAAATTTGGAGTTTGGAGCACCACTGAAGATGTACTGAACAGACAAGGTCCATCTCTCCTCCAACTATTTTTAGCATCCGGGGATGGAGCTGGCTTGTTCATCCTGCTCTTCCCTTCGATTTTCCTCTGTTTTAACTCACCAAGATACTGCTGCTTCCCGCTACAGAAAGTTACCACCCACTTCACCTTCTTGTAAAACTGCTAATTTTGTGCTCAAATCTTCCAAGAACTTGTCATCTTCAGCTGGATTCCACATTGGTTACACAAACTTTTCAAAGACTAGAAAATACAGGCACATTTCCATCCGGGTATGTTTAATTTCACTACTTAATGGTATATAATTGTGATTATTTCAATAATGTGGTGCTTTTTCATATCTTTCATTAGTTGAATTATTATAGGGTAGTCAAGTTCTTGCGTTAATTTTAAGTCCCAAATGACTAAACAAGTGAAAATATTAATTAGCATTTTCTTGCAACTTTTCCAGCTTAGTTTGGTATTGTTGAGGGGGAGGACTCTGGTAAATTTTCTGCAGTAAAATGATTAATTTTAGTTTCATCTTTATGGTTTAGTCATGTACAGCTGCAAACAGCTTGAAAGGATAAAAATAAGAGATCGATCTCTTTGAAAGATTCCAACCTCCCAAGTAAAGAACTGATACAGATTATGAAAAAAACCAAATTTGATACCTGAATACTCGGTTTATTACCCTGCTGCTCCGCTGGCAAAGTGAATGTAAAAAGAGTTGCAGTTACACCCTATATCCTCCTGAAGATGACAAGACAAGATTTACTAAGTGCAGCTTTTCAAAATTTTGACAGCTGCAGTATCTTGTGGAACAATGTCAGCAGCTCAACTTTATATCGCTTGCTAAATATGTTGGATTAATTATCTATGTTATGAAACTCTGGTTATTGATGGAAAAACATGTATATATGCATTAAATAATCAACATTGATAAAGTATTCTGACAACGGGTAATGGGTATCACTAACTTGAAATATTCAATTAATAGCATTTTCATGAAAGATAATTTTTCCAGGCATGCTCTCAAGTTGGTACTGCTGGATCCGAACCAGTATTGGATAAGCTTTCACAATTTAAAGATGCCTTTTGGAGATTTCTGAGGCCCCACACTATACGTGGAACAGCATTAGGATCCCTGTAAGTGTTTATTATGTGTGAGCGCTTTGGTGAACTTGCAACAGGCACATCTAACTTGTGTTCGACTTGATTTCTTTGGCAGCTCATTGGTTACAAGAGCGTTGATTGAGAATCCAAATCTAATCAGGTGGTCATTAGCATTGAAGGCTTTTTCTGGTCTTATTGCTCTAATATGTGGGAATGGTTATATAGTGGGCATCAATCAAATATATGACATTGGCATTGACAAGTAAGTGATTTGAGTGGAAATATTTGTTAGGTATTGATGGGTAGATTGTTTGTTTGTAACTTTAAGTTGCAGACTCTTCATGCATGATGGGCATAAATGAGTCGCAACCCGCCTGTTCCATTTATCCTCAATAAGATAATGCAATTAATTTTTCACAATGCTTGCAGGGTAAACAAGCCATACTTACCCATAGCTGCGGGAGATCTTTCAGTTCAGTCTGCATGGTTCTTGGTGCTATTGTTCGCTGTGGCTGGCCTTCTTATTGTTGGGATTAATTTTGGCCCCTTCATTACTTCTCTTTACTGTCTTGGTCTCTTTCTAGGTACCATTTATTCGGTCCCCCCATTTCGCATGAAGAGATTTGCTGTCGTAGCGTTCTTAATAATTGCCACGGTATGCTTGTTTCTTTATGTATTTGTTTGCTTCTTATTTCTTCTTCATAAGTTGTGCGTAAAACTATCTAAAATAGTCACTTACATCCATACATCTTGCTGATTTACTGAGAAGTTCTGCATGTGCTGAAGTACCTCCACAGATGAAGCTTTATGCTTGAAATCATGTTTTGAGTAAATTATCTGATACTCTATTGCAAATCTGTACTTTCCCTAGGACACTCTTTTCTTTTTTGCATTTCGTTAGACTTCTTGAATTTATCTACTACTTAGACTTGGAGACTCAAGAAAAGCACTATGGCATCAAATTTATCTACTACTTAGACTTGGAGGCTCAAGAAAAGCACTATAATGCTATGGGATTGCAGAGTTTGGAAAGGGGAGGTCTTACAGATTGGTGCTTATACTTTGACATGCAAATTTGAGGCTCTTTTACAGAAGTTTGCATGCCATATATCACGGGTATATGCTCCCAATTGTAAAATAGAAAGGAGAATAGTGTGGAGGGAAATTGGTGCAGTGAGGGGTTTGACGGAAGGTCCTTGGGTAGTTTGTGGTGACTTTAATGTCACAAGCTACCCAAATGAAAAAAGGGACTGTTTGACGAGGTCTAGAGCGATGGTGGAATTTTCAGACTTTATAGAAGACATGGAGCTGATCGATCCTCAACTAGAAGGGGGTTCTTATACCTGGTTCAAAGGGGATAATCATACAACTGCTTTTCGAATTGACAGATTTCTAATTTCAGAAGAATGGGATGACAATTTTAGAAATATCAAGCAAACTCTCCAACAAAGGTTGATTTCTGACCATGCCCCTGTGTCCTTACGTTGTGGTGCTTGGGAGCAAACTAAGTCATATTTTAAGTTTGATAACCGGTGGCTGAATACTGAAGCTTTTGTAGACAAAAATTAGAGAATGGTGGACATCTTTTGATTTTTCAGGAAGGCCAGACTATATTTTAGCTTGTAAACTTAAAGCTCTCAAAGGCAAGCTAAAAGAATGGAGTAGAAACTAGATATTGAGAAAGCTTATGGTCATGTCAACTGGAGATTCCTACTGAAAATGTTAGAACAAATGGGTTTTGGGGAGAAATGGATCAATTGGATGAAATTCTGTATCTCTACTGTCAGATTTTCTATCCTCATAAATGGATCCCCGGAAGGTTTCTTTCCTGCTCATAGAGGTTTAAGACAAGGAGATCCCCTATCTCCCTTTCTTTTCATAATAGCCATGGAAGGTCTGAACAATATGATTAATAGCCCGTTTGGCCAAGCTGCAAAAATCAGCTTATTTTGAGAAGTGCTTTTTTTTTAAAAGTGCTTTTCTCAAGAGTACTTTTGGTGAGAAGCAGTTTGTGTTTGGCTAATTAGTTTGAAAAGCACTTCTGAGCAGCAATTAGTGTTTGGCCAAGCTTTAAAAAACTGTTTCTAAGTGTATTTTTCTCAAAATTGCTTCTCAAAAAAGTGCTTTTGGAGAGAAGCTACTTTTTTCTGCTTCTCCAAAACTGCTTCTGCTTCTCCTCAAAAGCACTTTTTTTCCTTCCAAAAGCTTGGCCAAACACCTCAATTTTTGGCCAAAAACACTTTTGGCCAAAAAAATTGTTTTTGGCCAAACAGGCAATAAGACAACAAAAGTCAATGGATGCATTAAAGGTTGTGAGGTTGCCAGAAATGGAACTAACAGACTAGAGATCACACATCTCTAATATGCTGATGACACTCTAGTCTTCTATGATGCTGAAGAGGAGCAGTTGAGATTTCTGAGAATTATTTTGGTATTGTTTGAGGGTATCTCAGGACTTCACATTAATTGGAAAAAGAGCCACATTTTTCCCATTAATGTAGTTCCTAATATGGAACAATTGACACTAGTATTGGGAGGAGAAGTAGGAACTCTACCTATTGTTTATCTTGGGATGCCTTTGGGTGCAAAATTTAAATCCAAAGAGATTTGGAATTCTGTTATTGAAAAATGTGAGAAGAAGCTGTCCAGGTGGAAAGCACAATATATATCAATGGGAGGAAGGCTTATCCTAATTAACTCAGTACTAGATTCATTCCTACATATATGATGTCACTATTTCCAATTCCAGTCGGAGTTGCTCAGAGATTGGACAGACTCAGAAGGTCCTTCTTTTGGCAAGGGAATAAGGAGAAAAAGGTCTTCCATTTGGTCAAATGGAAATCTCTCACAGTTGGAAAAGGTCAAGGTGGTTTGGGTATCAGAAACTTGAAAAATCAAAGCAAGGCTCTCAAAATGAAATGGTTATGGAGATACTCCCAAGAACCTCAAACCTTATGGAGCAATGCGATCAAAGTTAAATATGGTGAGGAAGATTATTGGGTGTCAAAGGAAGTTAATACATCATACGGAGTTAGTGTGTGGAGATCTATTAGAGCACTCTGGCCTATAATGAAGAACCATTCTTTCATTAGAGTGAAAAATGGTAACAAAACTTCATTTTGGAATGATAACTGGTTGGGACATGGATGTTTAAAGGAACTTTTCCCTTATATGTATGGTCTGGCTCAAAACCAACAGAAGACAATAGCTGACATGTGGACTTCTCAAGGCTGGGATCTTGTACTTAGAAGATTGTTGTATGACTGGGAGATAGTAAGATTGACTGACTTTTACAAGAATCTGGAAGCATTTAAGGGATTATAGAATGGAGTAGACTCACTATGGTGGTAGAGTCACAACAGAGGAGTTTACAAGGTGAAGGTAGCATATAAGATTTTGAATCACACTAATTCACAAGTAACTAATTGGGCATGGAAGCATATATGGAGAATCAAGATTCCCTACAAGGTAGCTTGTTTCACTTGGCTACTAGTAAAGGAGGCTGATTTGACCCAGGATAATCTCATAAAGATAAGGATCTCATTGTGCTCAAGATGCTTTCTATGTGGGGAAAATGCTGAGACAGTTACTCATCTAGTTTTACATTGCAAGATAACGGACCAACTATGGAAAATCTTTCTCAGGGGTATTTCATGGACAATGCCCTGTAGGATTACTGAAGTTCTTTTCAGTTGGGATGAAGCTGGAGCTGAAGCAACAAACAGAGATAGATGGAGGACTGTCCCAGCATGTATCTGGTGGACAGTCTGGAAAGAGAGGAATTCTATATGTTTTGAGGACAGAAGCAACTCAGTGCAGAAGATCAAGCTTAGTTGTGTTCTACTCTTTTGTTTTTGGTGCAAACAGACTTACACAGAAGTTACTGTGTCAATTTTAGATATTTTAGGGTCTTGCTAGGATTGCATACCAATTCTCTTATTTGTACTTACCTGTAAATATGGTTTTCAATACAACCTATGTACTGATTTTGGTAATATATACAAATGTTATCAGTTCATAAAAAGAAAAGCACTATGGCATCGTGAGAAAAAGGAAGCATGATACAGTTTGTATTCACATGAAGCGTAGAAGGTGTAGGGCAGGTGGTGGTTGTGCGTTTAGTGCCCAGTACATTGTTTCTCTTCTTTTGCCTTTTAAAAATAATTTTTTGCCACTAGCTTTTAGAGAAGATAGCTAGTTAAACATGACTGGTAGCCAAGTGTTAGTTTGAACCTGGTGGCTAGCTACAGTCGGTATAGCTGTCCGCTTGAGTGCAATGGGTTTAGTGTACCATTTTGGCAGTGGAAAATATCTTCACTAGGAAGCCGATTGTAAGCATGGCTTGTAGGATTTCTATGCTTGGTGATGGTTGTCCGAGGGGCACGACCACCTATGTTACCCAAAGTTGTCTTTCTCCTTGCTTCCGTGTTTAAATAGCTCTTGCTCTCTGTATCAATTTCAGACCATAACTCAAAACAGGGGCATTTACCCAAATTGACTCCAATCCAATGTACTGGTGCAGCCTAGTGAACAATATTACCATCTTTGAATTAGGATTTCTAACAGCTTCTACCTGTGACTGCTAGAGGCATTTTGTAATAGCAACCACTATATTGTATCTTGGTCCACACTTACTGTCATTACTAAGGTATTCTTGCAGCTGTTCATAATTGCATTTGAAGATGTCCTCATCATTAGTCGTAAGCAGTTTAAATTATGGAACCCCCTAATCTTATAATGTTTCAAACCATATCCTTTTCTATGGCTTGATCTTCCTTTCTATCAAGAATTATTTAGTTGAACCTTCCATTACCTTCAATAAGACTCTATCATCCATAACAAGTCTAACATCTTTTCACAATTGTAAATGGTTGATGTAGTGCACTTATTCATTGCATTTTAATGTTTGGTGGTGCCAAACAATTTGAGTGTTTGGTGGTGCTCTGTATCTCTTTGCATTGGCCAATAAATATCACCTTCAGTTAAGAATATAATAATTAAAAGGATTCAAGAATTGATATGCATTGCAGGTACGCGGTTTCCTTCTTAATTATGGTGTGTATTATGCCACAACAGCTGCTCTGGGGCTAAGCTTTCAGTGGAGGTGAATGTTTTTCTGCTACACACTTTATTTCTGTGGAAAGATACATTTTCCTTTTCTCCATCTGTCTATGTTATTTATCTAACTAAAGAAACAAAGCCTGCCTATTAACATATAAACTTGCATAGAGGAAAGTAAATTCCTCAAAGCTAAAAAAGCATTCAGTTATACATGAGAAAGCAAACACATCCCAGCATAGGCCAACTTTCAAATCTCTTCCTCATGTTTTAAAAGCCTTTTTGCTATTGTTGTGGGATGATTAGACCAATTCTATGGATGCTGCCGCTATACCGAAAGGTAGTCAAGGGCTTAAGTAATACCTATTGGCATTATAAATAAACAAAAAGTAGAAAAAACATCAATTCAAATTCACATTTTGGCACCCAAATTAATTAATAGCAGTGCAGGAGTTTAAACTCTCAACGTTGATCTTCTCCCTTGCATGCATGTGAAATGAGACATGGAAAAGTAAACATACACTCATACAGAGTAGGAGGTATAATCTTGATAAGTTGGTTCATACTTACTTTTTCTCAAAAAAAGAACAAAAAAAATGAATCTTGATACACTGGTTCACTGGATGAATTCCCAGAATTTAGCTCGAACTATTCTTTTGCACTTCCAATATGAAGTTTGCATATACTAATTTGAGCCAAAATAATAAGTGAACTGGTTTGCTTATCAAAAATAATAATAAGTTAGATGGTAAGGATGCCTCTTTCCGGGTCTTAATTTCCTCCCAGCCCCTTTCTAAAGACAAATTAAGAAAAAAGAATAGTGGTAAAAAAAAAAGATCCAATTTTCAACTTAATTGCAGTACATTATCAGTTTTACTGACTGAATTAACTTTTCTTGTATATTTTTGTTATTGATAATCTGAGTTAATAATATACCTTTTCACCTGCAGCTCACCTGTTGCATTTATTACAACTTTCGTGACTTTGTTTGCACTGGTCATTGCCATCACCAAGGACCTACCAGATGTGGAGGGTGACCGCAAGTAAGTTTTGTTATAAACTTTAAACAATTTTGCTACTTCGTTCCCTTATTTCAGTGGGAAAAGTTTTTATTAAGACTGGGAATTTTACTTCGATATAAATTTTGACTATGAATTTTACTTCGATATAGTATTTTAACTGCTTATACCTGTTGTGAATCTATTTCTCACAACCCATGTATCCTTACTTGAAATGGTCTAAATATCATAAAAATATATTCACATATGGTGTTTACATCAAATTAATAACTCCATGATATGGGTCTTTCTTACACACATTTATATGTATTCTTACTTTAATGTTAACTGATAAAGTTAAATAGGTTGGTTTACAATAAACATCGGGTGTGAATCACCAGGTGCAAGTATGTTTTTATCTTACCGCCTAATGTAAAAATTTCATATTTAGGATTCATAACCTTCCTCTATATGGTGTTTTCTTTGTGTCAAATTAATTGTCCTACTTCCACTGCTTTATTGTTACAAACATTGTGTCCGAGTTCCCTATATGGAAATGTTTTCTCTACAATTCCCCCATTCATTCAATGTTTATTTGGGACTTATTTTATCCATAACGACATTCGAATTGTTTTTCCCCTTATGTTCGAATTATTCAAAGAATTCAGTTTATAACTAATAAAACGAAGTTTAACTCTTACTTATAGATAGGAAAAGGAGTCATGTATTCGTTGAATGGAACTGGTAAAAAGATTGTCTTAGACTGGTCAATAAAACAAAAACAATCGTTTTAGCTACTATTGTCATTGCTGATAGGCATTTCTTCGACTGTCGCGTACTTACTGAAAAGAAACTATTTCAAGATCTCCTATTGTTGAAAAATTATTATAGCTATCTGTTAGAATGTCTAGATTTGTGGTGGAAAAAAAGAAGAATGTGTCTAGATTCAATCTATATGATATACTATTGTAGGTAGAGGATAATTCCTACTAGATTAAAACTGCTGTATAAGGAGACCCTCTTGGGTAGCGTCAACACCTACAGAGTTCGTAACTGTTGATATCTACAGAGTTCGTCTTTTTCATTTCATGTACTTATCTAGGTTTCAGATATCTACCTTGGCAACGAAGCTTGGTGTGAGAAACATAGCGTTCCTTGGCTCTGGGCTTTTGTTGGCAAACTACATTGGTGCTGTAGTTGCTGCAATTTACATGCCCCAAGTGAGTTCATTTTTCCATATAGGTTGTTTGATATTTTACTTTATGTTTGATATATGTTGGCATTTTCTGAAATCCTGATTTTTGCTCTCTGCTGGCAATGATTAATAACTTCATTCTCTTTATTTAACTCGCTACAGGCATTCAGGAGCAGCTTAATGATACCTGTACATACCATCTTGGCGTTGTGTTTAGTCTTCCAGGTACTTTGAGTCGAAATCATTATTGTGGCAGAGTGAGACTTACTTCCACAATGCTCTATCATTTGGTTCTCACACTCGTTACAAATGTGTTGGAAAATTTATGCTTGCCTTCAATTTTCTGATTCCCGTAGACTTATAAACCTAACCATTACTTACCAAGTAATATGAGTAAAGTTGTCAATGACATGGAATATGCTTGGTTGCTATAATGATGTACTAGAAGTCTGAGAGTACCATATATCCCAGTTATTTTCATTTGTCCATAATCGGTTCATCTTTGCTAATTGGTTAAGCCTGTATGCTGAATGTTTATGTGAAGAGATCCCTTTTTATTTCTACTCTGTGAGATCAGAGCATTTCTTCGTTTGGTCAAGAGTATGAATAAATGCATGAGACAAGTAGTGTCAACTCTTAACAAGCATTGCGTTGAGATACCATTGCAGAATATACTCTTCAACTATGTGTAATTTTTTAATTATTGGTACAGCTTAAAGAAGATATTTATTGCCAAACTGACACTCTTTGGTATCATGTTTGTTGTTATAAACAAGGAAAATGTTACTTACACAACTTGACCGATGATAGGATTTGCGTATCATATTGTTGTAGAATCTAAACTACAGTTAGAAAGTTACCTGAAGTTCCTCTATTTACTGTATTTAGTTCGGGAAGTTGCATCATACATTTGGCTTATCTCAGGTTTAAAAAATTTGGTAAATGCCAAAGGAAGAATAAATGGGTTCTGCGCCTTCACAGTAATGTTCTTAATGTTTTATCAATTATATTCTGGGGATAATAGTATTGTGTTTGCTACTTCTTTGTCGGACAAGCTGTGGTTTCACGTAAGTGATTGGTTCCCGTGTTCGGAGTCTTAAAGTTTTCCTCAGACATGTAAAACGGTTTGTTATCTATTTGCAGGCATGGTTGTTGGAAAAAGCGAATTACACTAAGGTAATTTTAATGCAGTTTTGCATGAGTGGGTGGCTGTTATCTAAAGATTATGTTTATTCTGATGGTAAACAATTACAACTTGCAAGCATTGATCTCATTAATCACTTTGTACAATTTCATACTGTCTTTTTGTCACGGCTTCTTTTGTTCTTTGCAAAAGAAAATAGAGTCCACAACCAAGTCGATTGCAATCGATGGTTTAATTTTTCAATTCACAAGCTCGGTCAATTCAAGATTTAGGCTTGCAATTGTTTCGTCCACTGTCCCTGGGAACGGGGGAAGGAGGAGTTTACCACTGTCTGATATTTGCATTTTGTAATTTTTTGCAGGAAGCAATCTCAGCATACTATCAATTCATATGGAATCTCTTCTATGCTGAGTACCTTATCTTCCCTTTCATCTAACAAATACTCGAAAAAAAGTTTTTGTTCTGTAGACTTTATCTTCTCAAGTAGCATCCAGAAGGCGGGGGGAATATCAAAGTAACTATAGAGAATTGGAAGTTTTTTATTTCTGGTTTGGTGCTATCATCTACTGGACAAAGGAAAAGTGTGTCGAAAAATGCCAGTTCTACGTTAGGTTTTGTAAGCCACATGCATGGAGATGCTGGAGTAGAGAATTTCTTTATGCAATTTGATTCAATTGTTGTATATTTCTAGGACATTCATCGATCAATCGAAGAATGAGTTTTAGTCATTTTTTAATTGTTATTGAATAAGAATGTTGTATGAAAATCAGCAGATGCTGTTACCCTCACTTTCAGTTTTGTCTATACACAGCAATAGTACTGCATCTCAATAGTTACAATTTTCCTTACGCTCAATACGAAATGATTATGTTATTTGTATCCAGGAATTCTGACGTTCCAAGATGTTTGCTAAAAGAGTTTTACTCCTATACAGTATGATGTAAAAAGATATTTAAAGTCAAATCACTTATGAAGTAATTACAGGTAAAATTCTGTAATAAGCATTAATTGATAATCTGATAAAAATGGTAATTACTTGCTGTAATGGATTAAAATTCATTGACAGTGTTAGAATAAACAAAGATGTAATCAGATGAACATAGGAAGACATTAGAAGGTGACTCCGAGGCATGCGAACGGAAGAACAGGGATACCTTGAAGTCTCAAGTAAGCTTAAGCATGCCTCCCTATCGATCCGCTCGATCAGAAGTACTTGGATATGCACAAAGAATGTCTAGAAGCGTAGTATGAGTACATCACAGTTGGTACCCAATAAGTATCAAGACTTTATTAATCTTTTTCTTCTGTATAATGTACAGAAGAATGGCTACATCTTGCTTCAAAAATCTAAATGGGAGTTGTAAAGAATCAATCAATCAAATACACCTAAAAATCCTAAACTGCAAAGAATCCTACCAGAAATTTCCTAAAGAAAGAAAATATTTGTTATCCTCCTAACTACTGATCAACATATATGCCCCTACTCTACTAATTCAGTATATACTAGTGTTTCAGAACCTGGAGGTCTTTTCTCCTCAGTTGCTTCTCTAGAAAAAAGTGTACAAGTATGAAGTCGACCAGATTTGAATGGAGATCTTGGAGACAATTGCACCTCCTCCATGACGCGAAATTGGAGCTCTGATGGATAGTCCCTCATACATCCTATCCGAGGTCCAGCTCCTGTACTCCATTTGCATGATAACTGATTAGCCAACTGATATGACTTCATTCTTTTGTGTGAATTTATTCTCTTCATTATCTTCTCTTTTGGGATAGGTTCTCCATACTCTTCTTCATTTTCATCAAATAAGTTCTTCTTTGAAACTGACAACTCTGTATCTGATAAATATTCTTCTGCTGTTTCGTATCCATCTGCAGGAGTTTCCACTGACTGCTGCATGCTGTCCTTTGGCGCTTCCACTTGTCCTGCCTTCTTGAACAGCTCAAGTATGCCTTCCTTTACTGGTATTTCTACTGCAATTTGGGGTCTTAATCCTCGGGATCGTCTCGACAATGGTGGCATTGAACTCTCTGCGTCCTTGCAATACTTTCTAGTAGAATCTGCCTTCTCCCTGTCTGAGCTTTTGGCATTGCTCTCTTCACTAGATTTGGTGAAATCTGGTGCCGATAAACTATTACGCAGACTGGAACCACTCTCTTTCCTTATAAAAGGTGCTTCTTCCCCATCACTGGGCGATTTCTGCAAAATCAGGAGTAAATAAAGCTCAATGCGTTAGCCACGACTTATCTACACTTGATCTTATCCAAATGGCTGAGAAAGCTATGTGTTAGCCGCGACTTATTTTACGATCAATGTGCGAAACACGATAAATGCTGGAAAGGATTACCTGGATAACACTGATGTCGATATTCTGTTGCTCAAGATATGACATAAATTCTTCAAAATTCTCCTCTGTGGGAAGATAATGTCCACTGTGAGGCCACACCACCTATTTCGTACAATAAGTTAGATTCATCAATTCCCAGGTCTAAGGAAAAAAAATTGTGACAAAGCTGGGCAAAACCATGGCAATTTCTCCGTACCTTTAGAACACCATCTTCCACTACTAATCTCCCAGCAGACAATGCAGCACCACCAGCCAAAAAACTCGAATGCTGAAAAGTGCCTTTCTGCTTCAATCCGACATACAAGATCTTGGACACACTTAGCACAAAGATCCACTTGGCATCTTGAGGGCCTCCCCTTGTATCAAGAAGCTTCCCGCTCTGCTTGTAGATGAATTTTCCATCCACCACCACAACTTCATATGCCTCTCTCTCCATCTGTCATTGATTATTCAATACTGGTGAGGTGCATTAAAGATACATTTCCACCTACTCCATGCAGCTAACATAATCACAAGATGTCTGGAAGTACAATTACATGTTTTTAAATTTTAGGAAGGTTACAGACTGAAGTCACCCAAAGACATAACTTAAGCATTTTGAACATCTACTGCCCATTTCGCACATATCCATGCAAAAATAGACACAATCATAGCAAAACACAAATGTTCAGCACTCCTCACTGATTCAAAGACATACAAGTTCATATCCATGCCAAATATAAACTCTAATTGTCATGTGATAAGTCTAAGGGAATTTATCTCTACTAAAGAAGATTAAACTCACCGGACCGAGATACTTGATGCATTGTTGATGAAGTTTTGACCTAAGGCACTTCTCAAGATTTATTTCTTTACCATCACCTATGTCCAACCTGCAAGGCAAATCGCGTGCAAAATAGTTAGTTCAGCAAAATTAATTGAAGAGAAGTTGTTTGTTTGAATTTCTTACTAATCATAGGAAACCTCACCAATAAAAGAAGGGCTGTTTACTGTCAGCTTGGAGCCAGTTATTGTAATAAAATTGAAGATTGTGACCATAACGATGCCGGGGATCAATCTGTTTCCACATTATGAAAGATAAATACAAATCCCACAAATAATAAAAGCAAATATTGTTACTCAAACTTTGTTAGGACCGGAACTTACTGCTTCAAGCCAATGTTGTAATGCAAGCTTACAGGCCTTTTCATCTTTAGACAGACCTTTACCAACCTACAAACACAGACAAAAAGTACCAAAAAGATCAGTACATTAGGGAAAAGAAAAGATACAAGGATTTTGTAGACAGTAATGTCCAAAGCATACCTTAGCAGCTCTAGTTAATGCTCTAGACCAACGAGAAACAGCAGTTTGAGGTTTCTCAATGTCAAAGAATGATATAGAACTATGCTTGAGTTCAACAGTATCTAATAGCTTCCACCTGTAAATTACATTCAAATCAGGAACCAAAAGGAATAGGCATGAAAAATATCATGCTCGTGTATTCGAACTATCATACCATCTTTGCTCTACTAGAACAGCACAATCTGCTAGTTGCCTACGAGTCCGAAAACTTTTGTATGTCTTCTGCAACTTTAAGGCAGCACGATCTCTGTGTTCACCGTATTCTGGTGGCACAATCTGACTATTCTTCTCAGAGATGCTATGCAATTTGTCAGGAGTTTCGTCCCTGCTCCTACGGCTGTCTGATCTTATCATCATCTTATCTTCCTTATCAAATACAGGAGACTTGAGTGCCAACTTAGCCTCCAATTCCCTCCTTTTAAAACTAAGAGTTCCTTCAATGATCATCTTCCCAGAACCCAAAGACCTCAACATTTTTGACTGTTCAGGATTTTGGTTGTCGAAATTTATAGGCTGCAATGCAGTCCTACCGTCACTTCCAAAACTTATCGTTCTCACTAAATACGACTCCAACCTACTATTCAAATCATCCAAATTGGCAAATGGACAGGAAAACGATATGCCCATCTGCCTAAAATAAGTTAAACAAGATAATTTCTATTCCTAAAAGAATTTCCAAACCTGCAAAAATAAAGACAAAAGGATTAGAGCATAAGACATTAGTCCAACAATGCTTTAAAACTGATCAAGCTTTTGTAGAAACATAAGAATGTGGTGAACTTTGTTCTTAAAAAAGAAAGAATAATGGAAAACCTAAAGAATTAGAATTTTACAATAGATGCCCGACATTCCATAAAGCATTAGAATTTAATTGTCCTTTTTGATGAATAGTAACTCAACCAAAAACCCAGCTTATCTGGTCTTGAATCTCATAAATAAAAAATTACAAATCACATTAAATGTTTGGGTAGAATGGAGTTGTAAATTTTGACTTAGATTAAATTCAATCCATTTGAATGCCTTGAAAACATCATCTCAAATTATTTACCATTTGCATATTATTGTGAAAATAGCAAGGAATGGGAAGAAAAAAACACAAAAGAACATAATGTCATAGAAAATGGAGAATGTGATTTTTTTTTTCTCAAGAAAAGGTTTGAAGCAGAACAAAAGTCTGATCTAATATGAAAAGGACATAAACAAATGCAAAAACTGAAACAGAATACAATGTTAACAAAATGCAATCTTTTTAACACCTAGCAGTTTGAACAAACAAAAACAAAAATAATAACATGAGAAAAGGGTACAACTTTTTACCTTACACAATAAATAGATATGACAATGACAAATTTGTCAGATTCTAAAGGAAAAAGCAATGAGAATGGAGAGGAAGAAAGAAAGAGTTTAGTTGAGAAAAAAATGTAGAGAAATTTGGGAGCTTATTTTCTGAACAAGAATGGAGTGACTGAGTCTAGGAACACTGGTTGGTGAATGGCGATGTACGTTAGCTGTCCTTTGTCTATTCAATCCAACAAATAAACCATATATTTATAAGGGAAGGTAGAAATTAGAGAGAGAATAAAAAGTATGGAGACAAATGACAGAAAATAAGGGAGTGTAACAGATAGATACTTTTCCAACCACGTGTTCTTCTGCTTCACTACATAACGAAGTTTCACATGAAATTTACTTCAACTACATCAATTTTTATTTCATTTACTGTGTTTATTTGAATTGTGGGAATTGATGATACTGTATTAGGATGTAACACCCCAAACTTTAACAGAAAGTCTTACATCAACAAAATACAAGAGAGATGATGTGTATATAAGTTAACAAGCCTTAGACCCTAGTGACGCGTTTTAAATCCGTGAGGCTGGACTGTTACATAGGATAGGAACGAGTTTTTGCTAACTTAATTTTTCTTTTGATAATATTATTGTATAGGGTCAAATTTGACCGTCAACGTCTCTACGCCAATGGGTACGCCCAATGAGTATACGTCAACTAACGCAAGGGTACGACTTGGGCGTGGGAACAAAAGCGACATCGTTTAAGGCTCGGTGTCTTCACTAGGAAAACGTTACCTATTTTTGTATCTTTTCGATTATTTCGAGGGAGGTCTCCTACTATATAAGGGAGACCTTCACATTGTAAAAGGGGCATTCTAAAATAATACAACTCTCTCATTTTCTCTTACTCTCTCTCTATCTCTATCTCTAACGAATACTTTCTCTTGAGTTCATATTATCATTTTACACTATTAGATCTACAACAACAACTTCATTTTTCATCTCTAGGTCTATTATATTTGATTACGATTTACCCTTTCCTACTTTTGATTGTTTTTAAGCTCGCAAAGTACATCGATAACTTTTGAGCAAAACAATTTGGCTTCGACTGTGGGGATTTCGAGAATCAAAATCATAGTATCCACCTAGAGAGCAACCAACTACCATTCTCTACACCGCACGAAAACAAAAGATGGCTGAAAATAACACCAGAATGAAAGCGATAGTAGGTGTTACAGGCAATCTCCTTGATCCTCTCAACGAGGCCGGTGACGAGGGCTTTTTGAATGCAACCCCTAGCATCACGCCAGGTGCAGAGATCTCATCTTCCCCATCCGAAGATATGACGATCTTGCATGAAAAAGGAGCTTCCACATCTGCGGCTAAGGAAACACCCCCGGTGGTCAAGAAGCTACTGGAAGAATGGCTAACAAGCACTCTGAGTGGCTTGGTTGAGAAGTCACCGCAAAGTAACGTCAGGTGTATACCAACGGTAGGTACCACTACTGCCTGGGTAAACCTGAAGCTGCTCGATCAAATAACAAACCCATCGAGGCACAGACCAACGACGGCACGCTAACAGCCATCCTAAAGAAGATGGAAGAAATAGAGAATGAAAACAAGGCACTCCGCGACCAAATGAAAGAACATCAGGAGAGGGTAGACAAGATCCCCGGTGCTCCCAAGTTGCTGCCAAAACGCGACGTGGGGAGGTTCGTTGAACAACCATACACTGAAGAAGCTGCCCCTCACCCTATCCCAAAAACCTTCAAGATGCCACCCTACTTGAGGGTATATGACGGAACCACAGATCCCGAGGATCATTTGATCCACTATGTCACTTCTGTAAAGGGCAACGACCTATCAAAAGAACAGGTACCATCGGTGCTGCTGAAGAAGTTTGGTGAGACGTTGACAGGAGGGGCCCTAACGTGGTACTCTCAGCTACCAGCTAAGGCGATATCAACGTTCGAGGAAATGGCGGATAAGTTCGTCACCGCCCATGCAGGTGCAAAGAAAGCGGAAGCAAGGGTCAACGACATCTTCGCCGTCAGGCAAACCGCATGGGAGGGACTCAGGGAATTCCTAGCCAGGTTTAATAGGGTAAGGATGAGTCTACCAAATGTATCGGAAGGCATGGCAGTCGCCGCTTTCCAGAACGGGCTAAACAGGGATGGTTCGAGGGCAACCAAGAAGCTACTAAGCCGCCTCATGAAATATCCCCCTACCACATGGGAGGAAATCCACAACGCCTATTGCGCTGAGGTACGAGCGGACGAGGATGATCTTAATGGGCCGACCCAACGGCTAACAACGATACACTCAGAAACAAGGAGGGATCGACGCAATGAAGGACGGCGAGAACAACTCCCACGCTCCAACAAAGACCGACACCAGCCATACACCAGATCCTCCCATCCACCACCAAGGCATACGGACGCGCTACAGCGACACGTCGCCCCACTCCGAAACGAAAGAGGTACGCCTCCTTTATTATCCGCCCATAACTTTTGTGTGTCTCCTTCAGAAATAGTGTACGCACTGGAGAAGCTGGGCACCAAAGTGCAGTGGCCGCAGAAGATGAAATCAGACCCTGCCACGAGAAAATCAAACGTCCTATGTGAGTTCCATCAGGAACGGGGACACAAAACCGAAGACTGCATAGGTTTACGGCACGAGGTGGTCAGGATGCTGAACCAGGGATACCTGAGGGAATTACTCAATGACAAAGGGAAAATCAACTTGGGACGCGGACGGGAAAAACCCCACGGGCCACCGAAGCCGCCCTCCCCAGCACGCACGATAAACATGATCGTCGAAGACGGCGACGACTTAGCGATCAATCACGTCAAGTTTGCCACCACGCACAAACTAAAGCGGACCATCGCCCATGAACGGTATGACGACTTCGAAGATAGTATCACCTTCGATAAGTCTGATGCCGACGGTTTGTCTTTCCCTCATTACGATGCTTTAGTTATCACTTTACATATCGCTGATACAGATGTTAAAAGAATCATGATTGACGACGGAAGCGGCGCCTGTATTATCCACCCGAGGGTCCTCGTACAAATGGGACTCGAGGATAAGGTAATACCGCGTTGCATAACACTAACTGGTTTTAACAATGCAGTGGAACGGACATCCGGAGAAATATCACTGCCCGTTTTAGCAGGAGGAGTCACGCTGGAAACAACTTTCCACGTGATGAACCAGGAAACGGCGTACAACGTCATCATAGGGCGCCCGTGGATACACGCCATGCGAGCGGTCCCTTCAAGCCTTTACCAAGTGATCAAGTTCCCTACCCCATGGGGAGTATTCAGCATTCAAGGCGAGCCGCGCACCGCACAGGAATGCTACAAAATAGCTCAAGATTGCGCCCACACCCAACAGCTAAAGGGGGGCGAGCGCGGAGGCATAGCAATTAGCTGTGTCGGGGACTAAGGTCAACCCGACAACGGACGCCATTAGAGACCCCGAC